CCTGAGCTGAACAGTGATTCACTTAAAACTTTGACGTGTTTTTATTTTCAGCGATGTTGTCCCGTCTGCGTGTACTGAGCTGCCTTCCCTCCCCAGTTCCACTGGCGGTTCACCTGGCTGTGCTCACAGGTAAAGCTCACACAGAGTACACTTGTAACCAGCTAGAATTTCTGTCTTTGTGTCATATCATCTGATCCCAGAGCGCCTCAGAGCATCGCGCGAGATAAGAGATCAGTGGCGAAGTAGCATCACTGCACCTTTGTGTGTGTGTGTGTGAGTGAGAGAGAGTCCTGAAAGCCATAGCAGCAGAACAACATAAAACTAGCTGTGCAGGAGCTCACCTGCCTCAGGTGCAATCAGAAGACTCGCCTCTTCCAGATTTTTAAACATTTAGTGCCAGCTGACCACCACCGGTCACGTGTTTTTGCGTTAAATCTACGCCATAATGTGACGAATCCTGACAAATGCAACTACACATTGACGCAGCCCATGATGATCGTGATCAGTGCAGCTGTTTCCAACTTCTTCTGCCTCACACAATCCCTGATTCAAGCAAATTGACTGGCAGACAAAATTTCCAGCACCAACTAGTGCCCTGCATCTCCGCGCTCTGCATCTATTAGGCTGCAGAGCGCCTAATAGATGTATGAATCATGCTTCACTGCGACAGCAAGGCGAGAACACTCAGCAGTCCTCTGGATGTCAGTGGTGGCCATGCAAACTGACACATGACTAGAGCAGGGCGATATAACAAAAAATATTTATCACAATATATATTTGAAAATTTGCGATAACGATATAACTGACGATATAATTGACACTAGACAAAATACTTTACAACTCCTCAACTTTATTAGTGCAAAAAAAACAACAACATCAATGTATTTTCACTTAAACCAGCAGCTTTTTTAAGTGCATTAAAGTTATATAAAAAATTAACAGTGCAAATGCAAATCCTTGCTGACAGTTTAACCAAAAGGCATTTCCGCTGGAAATTGGCCGACATATCCTCAGCATAACCATGTATAATATCCACAAAACTTAAAAAGAGGTTATACACACACAATACGGTAATATTATGTTGAAGCACAGTACGTATCACTCCGCCAGGCTCCTGCCTACAATAGCCGTAATGCTCCGACCATCCATCAAGCGGTGCGGCTTCGTAGCTTAGCAACATTTGACAGATTTTTGAGCGCCGTGTACATAAAATCGTTTCCAGGTCAGTAAACACAACCAGAATTCATACATAAGGCACACTGGATTATAAGGGGCATTGTCGATTTTCAGAAAAATCAAAGGATTGATTTTAAGGGTGCCGTATTTTCCAAAAAAACCCCACGGTAATAACGACAGCCCGCTAGCATGCGCTACTAAAAATCGTGTTTTGTTGTATATCTGACGGACGAAAGCCAAACCAGTTCCACACCACTGAAGTTGCAGCATTTTTACAAACCAATTCTGGTTCATCCGTTTCATTCAACGATCCACTTTCGCTCTTCTCATTCTGCGTCGCCGTTATGTGCGTATGTAAACAAAGGCACTGCGCATGCGCGTTTTGCCCATATTCTATCGCGATATTTCATTTTCTTATCGTTACCGTGAATGGTATGATATAGCCCAGCCCTACACATGACTACAGGAAGTGAGGTCATTATGTGAGATCAACGAGCCAAAATGTTCCAGCAGAATATGAATTGATGACCGAAGAGCATGACTCCATTGCAGACGGTCAGGTGACTGATTTCCAAACTGAGTTCCGCCTCTCAGATGAGGCTCAGGATGGCATTTTATTCTCAAATGGTTTTGCTCTTTGATCACATGACGTGACGTCAGATCAGTTCACGTGAGTTCAGGACATTCCCGCTGATTTAAAGCCAAAACTGAGCTCCTCCAACAAAACCTGATCCTGCTAAAGGTGGAGACATAGAACGCACCTCCACATGATTCCCCAGACACCGCTTGCTACACGCCATGTGACAGTAAGAGCCAGCAGTGGAGTGACTTGTGATGAGGTCACACAGTGGGAAAGCAGGACTTTGCCCCCAGCCCCAGTCTCAGTTTGATGTGACGGCGCCGTGCAGCTGCTGCAGTTACATTAAATTGCAGAACGACCTTTTTATATCCCATCATAAACGTCATCATCATCACACTTCTCCAGAAATATGCAGATATGATTTTAAGAATGCCTTAAAACGTTCAGGCTGATTAAATCCTCAGTTTCTAATCATAGCCCAGCTCAGAGTTTATGGTTTTAAATGCTGACACATTGTTTTTCCCCCCCTTTCAGGTCATTTGTGATATGCAGTTTTTCACGAGTTTTTAGTAAGATGGGTGCCTTAATCGTGTTATTACCAGAACAAGTCATGGACAAGTCGTTTACACTCTGATCAGCTGGTTGCTGCTCACAGGAAGGTCTCAGGGCTCATTTTATCAGCCGACACGTGACAGTCTAGGTTCATATCTGATGTGTCTTCTGTCAGGTGTGTTTGAGCTTTGTGAGGTTAAAGGTCACAGTTCAGAAACCTACTCTACTGATCAGTAATCGATAAAGATAATAATGTGATCACTGTGAAGAGTGGATAAAATAATTTTGGCCTCTGTCACCAGACTCCACTGTAAAAACCACTCAAATAAGAGCCCTCATCCTGCTTTCTGGAAGTCCCCGCCGGGCCCGCAGGCACGCGGTGCGGGCTGTCAGTCACCGGCAGACAGGCCGCGAAGGAGCCGCCGAGGTGGGAGCGAGCCCGTGGAGAGACCGGAGGGAGAGACCGGAGGGAGAGGCCGGCCACACCGCCGAGCTAAAATGGAGATTACAGCTCGGCGGAGATTAGCTGCTCCAAGCTAACCCCTGTTAGCGTGGTCCACACCGGAAGTTCCTGTGATCGCTCTTCCAAAATGAAAACACGAAGCGTGACAAGGGGTGAGCGAGACCCCCGTCAGGGTATCGCGTGCATCACAGCGCGTCTCAGTGACAGTCAGACACTCCCCGAAGGACCGTCAGTGAACCCGTAGCTCCTCCGGCTGCTTCAATGCTCAAAAGTATTAGTTACGACTTATATTTTGAAAGTAGCCACCGGATGTGATGCGAATAAAACCGGGCGTTTACTGAGCGCTCTCTCCCGCAAACAGCCCCGCCGCCGCCCCCGCACTGCCACCCGCATTCTGCACCTAGAGCAGGCCGCGAGCATTTCCTTCACCGCCTGCCACCCAGACGGCCCCGAGCCCGGACACGGGCCCGTCCACTCACCGTGGGTCCCGGAGGCCGGCGAAGGGGCTGCTGCTGTGGGATTCCCAGGCTCCAAAAGGTCCTCCGCGGATGGTTTACTGTGGAGACGAAGGAGCAGCCTCTTCTTCTTCTTCTCCTCCCGCAGGATGAAAGCACTTCCGCACAGCCCGCCGCGCCGTCAAGCCGCACATAGCGATGAAGTCCAAATAAGGAACGTCCGGTCAGAGTGAGGCCCTTCAGAATAAAGTTAAATAAAGTTTTAACGTTTCAAAAATACGTTTCTGCTTTGATGCTTCGCGCAGCTCAGCTGACACCACGGGAACGCAACATGTGTCGCACAGTAAAAATTAAAAAAAAAAAAGTAAAATGAAAAACTGAAGTCATAATAAAATATATAAGAACTTTAACCCAGTGGGACATGTTTAACTGCATCAAGCAGAGTTCACAGGTGGGCATTAAATAATAAATATACGTTTCTGGCTTGGACGGGGCCTTTCGCAGTTAAATAAATAGTGTCAGAATTATGTCTTCATTGAAAACGACCACAGGAAACCAAGTCTGCTTTTAATTTGAAAATAATAACCGGAATAACTTATTTGTTTTCTCTCTCGCTTGTAGGATTACTTGAGGCCTCCCGCCACCCACGTTCAGTCAGAGGGCAGCAAGGAGGGCTAACTCTGAGCTGAGCAGGAGACTCCGCCTGAAGAAGCAGCAACATCTCACCCATCAATCATATACGAGGTGGCCCATACCTGAACGATCTCATCACTGCAGCTGCAGCACCAGTCCGTCTGTTTCAAAGCAACCTGCGATCTGGAGGCAGCACCTGATGATGCCAACAGAACCACATCATCTGCAAAATGCAGAGACAAGATGCTGGCAACGCCCAGATAATCTGCCCATCACCGGTGACAAAGGGCGGCCTAGGCGGAGCCCAGCACCCACTGGGAACGTGTCCCACTCACTGCCAAGAATGTGGACCACACCTCACAGCATACCCGCTGTGGTCAGTAATAATCAATACTGCTGATCAGCTCAGTGGACACCAGCCTAAGAAAACAAACATTACACACGTTATGAGTCACTTCAGTCACCAACCGAGGTACAGTGGCCCACTCTGAGAGTAGTCTGAGTCTCAGATTACACAGATTATGATGGGGTTCAGTCCCTGAGCTGCAGAGCTGAGGTGTGTTTGTGAGTCTGTCTGCTGCACGGTGTCGGTGTGTGTTGTGTCACGTGATCGTGCTCCCTGCACGGTGTCAGGGTCTTATGCTGCTGGCTGACAGCCTCTGATCAGTTTCACTTTTTTTCCTGATATACTCAGAAAATTATCGATAGCACGATAACGCCATCTTTCCTGCTCTGCGTTCATTAAATTACTGATCAGCCATCAAACGTTTCTGACGGCTCACGTGACTGCCCCAGTTGACCCATGTTCTCGCGAGAGGTGACGCGGCTCGTCGCGAGATCCTCTGCAGTAACAAATCGGCCGATTCTGAAGACGATCTGCTCGTTTCAGCGGTAAGGCGCTCATTAACAGCGCGCGTGCAGGATCCGCGCGAACACGGGATTGCCGGGCGTTGGGAGCGTGAACACGCGCCCGTGTGCGCGTGTGTGCGGAGGTGATGAGGACGTGCGTGTGATGAATAAGATGAAGGATGGAGGATGCTGCGCGGCGGCGGGCGCGACGGCACGTGCACGCGCAGAGCTGGTGTGTGACTGGGTCGCGCGGGTGTCCGGTTTCCGGTGTGGTCGGGTCAGTTCGATGTGAACACCCGCCCCTTCCCCGTGCATGAGTGCGTGTGTGTGTCAGGTGTGACCTTCACTGAGGTCAGAGGTGGCGTGTCCAAGTGAGCCTGACGGACTTAATGTGACGTCACAGGGTTAAACAACACCTTAAGAGTTTTTCAGGTCTGAATGTGCTACACTGCTCTGTGTTAGTGTGTCTGTGTGCTTGTGTGTGTGTCTTTGTGTTTCTGTGTGTGCGTGTGTGTATGCGAGAGATGCTGAAGATAAAATAACTCTTTATTGTCATTGCACACTCATACCTTGTACAATAGTACAATGAAATTGGAAACTCCCACGTCAGCACAACTAAAGACAACACATTTACTTAAAGTTGATTTTTTTCAAAGTGCAAGGGACCCAGACAGTGGCACGCGTGCGCCCCTGTAGGAGCTGCAGTTCCTCTGATGTCCCCCAGACGCTCCAGCAGTGAGCGATAGAAGAGGCTCCTCCTCAAACAGAGGAGCTTCATCAGCTCTTTTAGTGAATGAACCTGCACCCCTGCTCTGTTCTAAAACATCAACCAATAACAGTGCACGAGAATCAGGAAGGCTCTACCTTGTGGCATTATCCAGCACTTCGATATTAAGTACTTACTGAGCTAAAGCAACAGGAGTATCGGTAACACAGCAGCAGCAATGGACTTGGCCGACCACAGATATATATATTTCATCTTCTATCACCACAGCGGATCCTCTGCTCAAGGTCACGGTGAAGTTCCTCTGACCTTCTCTGAACCTCTTCAAGACATCCTCCATCCTGTCGCATATTAATAAGTTTGTATGTTAAATGTATGTGTGAGCAGTGATGATGGAGGTCATAGTGTGAACTTCATGGGCTCGGGTTTGTGTTTCAGACGGGGTCATGGAGGTGTCGTCGCACAGCCTCTTCCTGCTGCAGCAGCTCAACGTGCAGAGGGAATTTGGTTTCCTGTGTGACTGCACCGTCGCCATCGGAAACGTCTACTTCAAAGCTCACCGCGCTGTGCTGGCTGCCTTCTCCAACTACTTCAAGATGATCTTCATCCACCAGTCCAGGTGAGGGGTGAGACAGTGGCGTGTGACCTCTGTACCTGAGTAGAAGTTAGTTATACACCTGTGCTTTGGGTCATCACACAAGTGCAGGTAGTACAAAAAATAGGCATGTTTTCTGAGAACCTGAATTCTTTTAAATGCCCAGCAGGTGGTGACTCCTCTGACCCTCGAATCCTTTGTCCTGATAAATTTGTTGGCTTCCTCAACCGTGTTGGGTTCCAGGTCAGAGAGGAGGATTATCTGGGGTGTGCTAAACGTACGTTCTTCAGTCAGATCTGCCGCTTGCTGTCATCGTGACGGCAGTGATGAAAAGGACTTCACTAACCAGCCGGTGACAGTCTCTGCGTCGATCCTGTCATGAAAACGTTACCAGACGACCTGCTGTTAGCCACCTAGCTGTGAGTTAGCAGTGCGGCATGAATCCAAAGAGGGTTTGCTTGTCTGAAACCATGCAGCTGCAAATAGATCAGCCTCGGGAGTTTGGACAAACTGGCCAACCTTATCCATTAAAGACAGGATTTTACTACTTGTCAGCAGGCGTGTTAGTGTTAGCTAAGATTAGCCATGAGAAAGATAGCTCAGGATTGGATTTGCTCTCCACAACCAAACCGAATGTTAGCGTTAACTACAAACTTGGAGCTTGACTGGTCAAAGAGTGGCTAGCTGTCAGCTACAAACAGATGCACTGTGAGGACAGTTAATTTGGCCTTAGCTTTTAGGTGAACAGCGGTGTGTTTGATTTGTAACACACCAAAAAAATAATGAATGAAATTTAATGTTTTATCCCAATTATTTTGTTTTCATAATTTTAAGAAGCAATCAAATGGTAATAAAAATTCAAATATGATTGATCAGCCCTAAATGTGTTTAAGACTAGAATAATGTCTTAAGCACAGGAGAGTGTGGACGGTGTGCCTGCCCGAAGGCTTGTACCGGTGTTTGTTCCTTTATTCCAGGAGAACAAATTTCAGGATCTGGATCCTGTAATCCAGAATAGAGGAACAAAACTTTGGTCCAAACCTTCAGGAGAACATCGATCCAAAACATCAGGAGTCACATGCTGTTTTTTCCCAAGGTGCTCACCTCATGTCTCTTTGTGTCCCCAGCGAGTGTATAAAGATCCAGCCCACGGACATCCAGCCGGACGTCTTCAGCTACCTGTTGCACATCATGTACACCGGTATGTGTCCCAAACAGCCGGTGGACCAGAGCCGGCTGCAGGAGGGCATTAAGTTCCTTCACGCCTACCAGCTGTGCCGCAAAACTGGTGAGGGTGCTGCTGAGACTGCCAACAACGTGGTCCGCATGTCCAACCTCTATGGCATTCAGATCTCTTCCCAGCTGGCCAGCAAGGAGGGACCCGGAGTCCCCAAGACCACCACGATGTCCCGTGGGGCCGAGGATGGGCGGTCCTCTGACCGAGGGGCCCAGTCTCACTCCCAGCTGTCCCTTGCTGTCGGACTGGAGGGGGTATCATCGGACCATCAGGCCTCAGCGCTACGTTGCTCTGTGGCATCCGGAGACGATTCTGACATCTCAACTACCCGTATCAAGCAGGAACGCTTAGAGGAGGAGGAGGACGGCGAGGAGGGTCCAGGTGCAGGGTCTCCAATTCAGGACAGCAGTCCCATTCAGGGCCTCCTGTTCAAAGACCGGCCACTAGTGCTGCTCTGTCCCCGCTGTGGAGAGCGCTGCTCCTCCCCAGAGGGCCTGCGGGAGCACCTATTCAGCCATGCCCTCGACCCCGCCCGTCTCATGGAGGGGCTGTCACAGGGCGGTGAGCTGGAAGCCGGCCTAGAGGAGGGTCCTCCAGGAACCCAGGAGCAGCTGGATGCAGGATGTTTGGAGGAAGCTCTGAGACAGAGCCAGGCGCTAGCCAACCAGCTGGCTGCTGAGCTGAGGCGGAGCCGAGGAGGTGGTGGGAGTGGAGGAGGGGGGAGTAGCCCTGCTCCCTCCCTGCACTCACGCAAACGTAAGATTGCCTGCGCCGTCTGCAGCCTACGCTTCTCCCACAAGAGCCAGCTGCAGGAGCACATGTACACCCACACAGGCAAGCCGTCCCGCTACCACCGCTACAATCGCCTCTGCAGCCAGCTCTTCCAGGCCTCCGCCCACTTCTGCGACAGTGCTGCTGAGCCTGGGGGGGGGGCTGGGGGTGGAGCCTCAGTGGGCACCCCCATAGCTCTCTCTGAGGAGCCCAACAGGGACACTCAGGACAATGGCAGCTCCTGCTACTCCCTGGACTCTGAGATCTCCCAGGAGAGTGTGGACGGCGTTCCGGTTGAGTGATGCCATCTGTTATGAGGGATGTGATTGGACGGAATAGTAATTTCTGCAGGTGGTGGTGTTCTGAGTGTTTGGTCTGTACCTGTTTGGGAGTGTCTGTGTTTAATCCAGTGATGTGATCATGAGGTGCTGAGGTCAGCAGGTCGGACTGTTTGATGCTCAGAAACGTCGGCAAAACCTGACTGATTGATGATTAATAATTAATTGATTGGGAACTGTTTCTCCGGTTTGAAACATTTGCTGATTTGTGCATGTTGAACAAGTTTCTGGACTCTGATTACATGATTCGTTTCGATTAATCAGCAGATCAATCAGAGATTAATGATACGTCAGTACTTTGACTAATGTCACCTCCTGTCATTCCTGTCACTGCTTTGTATTTCCTTCTCTGAAATTGAGCCGGCAGAGACTCTAAACCTGAAAGCAGCCAACACTGAAGCCCATGCGAGTCTGAGAGGACTGTGAGGAAGAGGAGACAGTGAGCACTGTGATGTCAGAGCGATCTGTGATGTCAGAACCTTTCTGTGGATGCACTGACATGTGCAAACAACAAAAAGCGAACTACTCAGATTTCTGTCATTTGGTGTCAGAGTGTCGTATATACAAGGTGTAATCTACAAGTTATGAGAACAGGTCCAAACCAAAAACTGGATTTAAATCTGGCAGATGTCACATTCAGGATCATCTTCCCCTGGTTTTTGGATCTCTCAGTGGAAATCCTGTCAGTTCTCCTTCCAGTTTTATTTTTTTACCCACGTTTTCTTTCCCTCCATCTTGCCACACAGGTTTAGGACTAAAATGTACAGCAGTAAACCCTCTCAGTGACAAATAACGAGTAAGCACCTTACATGTAAAGTTTGAGTTTTTGATTTTCATTTTTGTCAATGTTCATAGTCAGAAAGAGAGTACGAGGCTTCTTGTTTCTGTCCTTTTAGTGTTGTCCACGAAGAAACAAAACTACAGTGCAGACTTCAGTAAATAACAGCTTGAAACGTTCAGATTTTGCTTTTGAATGCTACACAGAGATTTGAGAAGATCCCGAGTACCCTGAAAAGGAGTGACACCCTCAGAGGTTTGAATGGATATCTGCCAGTGCAGTGAATTTACACCCAGCTAACAGTCAACAGGACAAGGAGAAGAAGGCAGCAGCTACAGAAACATACTGGCAGAAATGACCTGAAGCCACCTGGGTTCTCGGACCTCTGCAGGTTCAATAGTGAATAGTGATGACCTGTCATTGAGATTAGCTGGGGTTAAACCAGGTTTTTATTGGACCTCTTCGCTGAAGCTGCTCACACCCACTAACCTCAGTATGCAGCACCAAAGACACAGAGGAAGAGCTAACGGTTCAGGTCAAAGCCACGACCTAACGTCAGTCATCTTCTGCCAAACTGAGCAGATCCGAAAGCTCTTAACTTCATCCTGCCTCTGTTCTGCTTTTCTTTAGTTTCTGCTAAAGAGCTTACAGCGTGAGATGTTGCATTTCACCGAGGTAAAAATTAGTCCCTGTAGAAAAATCTCTGATTGAGGTGTTGCCCCTCAGCGGGCTTCCAGAAGCTGTTCAATCAGGATGAAGTGAGCTCACACACAGATGGGAGGATTACACTGAGGGTGCTCTTACATGGAGCAGCTGATGGTTTAACTTCATTTAAAGGATCATTCCACAGTTTCTTCCATCTGACTCGAACAAAGGCAAGCACAAAAAAAGACAGAAAGGACAGATGGGAAAATAAACGTGTCCCAATCTGTGGGTCAGGACTCTTGTGGTTCCCAGCCTACGCCCACAGGGGCACATTTTTTATTTACATTTTTAAATAAAGTTTTAAAAATATTCAATCTTTTTTATATTTATCATAAAACTGTGAAAAACTAAAATCTTTTAACAGTCTAAAAATCAAAAGCCAACAAAAAAGCACGATCTGAATTTTATTTTAAAAAAGTTACTGCCAGCGTTTGATATATTTTGTTGGAATGCCCTATTAACTTTTACATTTTATTTTGAAATGGTTATGCTCCTATATGTTCTAAACGTTTTATTTTGAAGGAGTCATAGTTTAGTGCATTTGATATACATTTATTTTGAAGGAGTGACATTCTGTTGCATTTAAACCTTTTTATTTTGAAGGATTTGATGTTTGTTCATTTTAAACATTATTTTGAAGGAGCCAGTCTGTTATATTTAATTAATTAATTTTTTGGTTTTTGAAGGAATTGTACGCTGTTGCATTTGAATCTTTTTATTTTGCAGTGGTCCTATCTTGTATTTTAAACCTCTTATTTTGAAGAAATCAATATGTTCTATTCTAAACTTATTTTGAAGGAGCACCAATCTTGCATTTTAAACCTCTTATTGTGAAGGGGGCAATAGTCTTGCATTTTAAACACTTTACTTTGAAGGAGTTACATTCTTGCATTTTAAACCTCTTATTTTGAAGGAGTTGGTCTCAATTCCATTGTAAACCTTTTACTTTGAAAGTTTCCACCGGCCAGAGGGAAATTGGTGGTCTCTGCTGTTCCTTTCTGTGTCACGTGACCAGCGCTCATTGATGATGAGGTGTTAATGATTATTGATCGTGTGTGACTGTCGTGCCGTCGTCTTATTTCTGTGTTTCACTGTAAAAAAGCAAACAGGAAGTTCAGTGTCAACATGTTTTTGTAAACTGCATCTGTTTTTCATGGATAGAACAATAAAGTTTTGTAAATAAATGTTTTTTTTCACCAATCAGATCAAAGCTCTCGTGTGTGCTTTTCATTCTTTTTTTTATTATTGATTTTTGAACAGGTTTTAATCGGCTCGGCGTGGATGTTGCTGGGTTGCACCGCAGCATGCAACACACTTCAGCTGTTAGCTGTTAGCAGCAGCCCAAACGTGCATCAGCACAGTGGGAAAATGCCCGGTATGCCAGATTTTCAGTCCAGCCCTAGTACCGATCAACCAATACTGAGATTGATTATTGATTAACCAGAGTAACCTGTTGGTGACATCAGCTGTTTATCACAGAGGTGATTATTGAGTTAGCTGCGTACTGATTGATTGCTGATTGGTCTGCAGGAGAGCATTCTTTGTGCCCTGCCAGAATCTGACCTGCAGGAGTCAACAGTGAGCTTAGCAGCCAGGTGAGAAGAGAGGCATTGTGGGAAAATTCAGACTCCAGTTTAACTGCTTTGACTCGAGATTTTAAAAATAAAAATCTATTTTTTATCAGTCCGCATCGTCACGGGGTCAAAGGTGATGCCACAGATTTGATCACACTCCTCACTGTCAGGGCGAGTCCACAAGATGCACTCTGTTTCCCAGAATACTTTGCCTCAGTGAAGGACTGGATGAAGGTTCCTGACAGTCTCTTGGCACTCACCTGTCGGGTGATCTGATTGGTTAGCGTGCTGTTGCTTGGCAACAGATGGATGTATTCTTACCCTCCATCACCATAGAAACGAAGGCTTCAGTTTCTTCTTCACACATTTAAAAATAGACTCGGAGGACAGAGAGCTTGCGGCAGATCAGTAACTGATCAAGGATCAATGATGCGGTGCCACAGTGTGACTGAAACGGGTCTGAACAGCTGATGGACTCGATGACTTCGCTCTGCGGCTGTTTGGAGATGGTGACCTCTCACCTGAGCCTTAGATATCAATCACAACTGAAACGCTAATCAATCAATCAATCCCTTAAACATAGTGAGCATCTCCTCATGTTTAAACTCAGTATTTCTCCTTTCAGTTCATCTTTTCATTGTTATTTCCTGTTTCATTTTGAAATTACTCACCTCATGAACAGGTGTGGCTTTGTGCTCTCTGCAGGTTCCTCATTAAAGTGTCTTGTTCAGGATTAGTGCAGAATGCTAATTGCAGGTAAAATGCTGAGCTTTTCTTCCCGTCATCATCAAACACATATGAACATTCGTGTTTGTAACAGGAAGTACTTCAGTAGCAGTACATCCTGTCAAAATAAAGCAGTTTGAAAACAGCTCCAGAAGCATTTTAACTGTTTGAAATCACAAAAAGCTGATGAAACTCACCTTGGATGTTTTTAAGTGTGATGTTGTTCAGGTCTCCATGGTTTCAGTCATTTTCATGGTGTTGGTAATGCTGCTCTAAAACCATCAGCTGACTGAAACGTTTAAAGAGTCAAACTCTGCTGCCATTAAGTGAAACTGGACGTGACAGTGATGTTACTCTGCAGTCACATTTCATCAAGTCTTTGTGTTTTGTTAAACCTTTATTTTAATACTGTTTCAGATTCCTGAAGAACCAGTGTCACACTAGTAATAGTAACTGTAATGTGATTACAGTAAGGTGTAGCAGCCGTGCTGCTACAGTCGTGTGTTTCGGTGTTGAATGTCCAGCAGATGTTCGGAGAAGTAGAAGGAAACACGTATGTTATAGAAAGGGTTTTAGGGAAGACGATGCAGCCCCACACCTGCAGTTCCTCTGGTGTCCAGCAGAGGCAGGGCTGAGTCATGCGTACAACCTGAAACAAACTGATTGGTCTCTTTCCTCGTTCATGACACCTGTACGGAGGGAGGATGCTTCTATGACTCACCTGTTTAAGAGTTGTGTGTTTATTGAAAACTTTACTGACACCGTGTCTATGGACAAACACGTGCAGGCATCGTTATACAGAGCTATTTGGTGATTGGACCTCCTGATGACACAAACCTGATTACAGGACACGAAAGCTGCTGTTTCCTTCCCCCACCCCCCGCCCACGTACCACCGCTTTATCGAAGAAGCAATTTGTGTAAAAGAAAAAAGCATCAATCAGTGTGGTTGCTATGGAAACTGGGGAGGCGCAGTGCTGGTGGCAGCGAGGAGAGAGATGTGCTCAGTTTTTCCTGATGAATCCGAGAGAAACAGATCCGATCAGCAGGAAGCACCCAGGTGAGAACTCATCTGTTCATTCATCATGTTCTTTCATGTTCATACCTGCCTGATGATATCATCACTGCATGCCTGATGATGTCATCAGCCAGCAGGTGGTTTCCATTAGAGGAAGAGGAAGTTTATTTTGGAGGCAGCAGGTTATTGAAGAGTGATCAGCTGACTGGAACTTCCTGTCATGATGTAAACACTTGGAGTCTGAGGCCAACTGGAAGTGTTTGTGAGGGTGTACCTGAGTTGCACTGACTCACCTCAAGCAGGTGATGATGGCTGAACTCCTCAGAGGTGGAGGTGAGCCAGAGGAGAAGCAGGACAGCTCCTCACAGGCCTCCTTCTTGTCCCCTCGGTTTCATGGGTCAGACTTGTTTTTGTTGCCTCACGCAACAGCTTTGGGTTGTTCACCCTCCTTGGGTGAACAACCCAAGGAGGTGGAAGAAGAATCAGGTGAGCGCCCGGACCTACCTGTGGATGGTCAGCTGATGTTCGCTCCTCACACCTTCACCCCACTCAGCTGTGATAGACAGTTAACCCCAGCAGCACAGCGTCTCAGCTGTTACTCAGTCATTGATCTTTAAAATAATTTAATTTCCCCAAATACTGACTGTATAATCTAGTTCAGGATTCAGTGTGTCTGTTTGTGTGTGTGTGTGTGTGTGTGTGTGTGACTTTAATAACCTGCTGCTGATGAATCTATGTGCAGGGTTTGACAGACGCTTTCAGGAAACATTTTCCTTCAATGGCGATGAAGGGCGGAGAGAACGTGGGGCGAGCGGAGAGCGTCAGCCTGAAAAGGAAGCTAAGGGGTCCTCTGAACATGCTGCTGCTAGGAAAAACCCGGAGCAGGAGTGAGGGGGAGGAGCCACTGGAGGTGGTGGAAAATGAAACCACGGCGAGACATTCAGACACCGCAGTTGAAAGAGGAGCTGACCTCAAAGAATTCAGTGGATTGGAGGGAGAGGCCCCACCCACAGGAACCTGCAGGGGGCACTGCAGAAACAGGAGGAGGTGCAGGTGGTGGGGGAGGTTCTCCTCGGAGCTCATTTGCATCAGAAGGATACAGAAGAAAGTCGAGAAACAACCAGAGCAGCAGCAGGATTCAGAGGTGGAGCCTCAGTCACAGGACAAGAGAGCTAACAAGAGGGCATGGCCAAAGTTCAGGAAGTCCAGGAATTCATCGTACCAGCAGAGGGAGGAGGTGCAGGGGGAGGCCCAGAAAAAGCTGCACAGGTTCTTCATCAGAGGAAGAAATAGGCGCCCACAGGAAGACATGGTGGTGGGAGTGGCTCAGACGGACACTGTTCAGGCAACTGTCATAGTGGAGACTAGCGTGGAGGCGGCACTGGATCGAGCTGCAACTGGGAGTCCAGGAGAACCAGCAGCAGGAGAAATGTATGAGGAGGTGAAGGAACATCGACCAGAGACCTTCCAAAGAGTTGGTGAGGTTGATGACATCACCGTGGGGAGACCACTCAAGGTTTTCAGTGACTCTGCGGACGCTGGGTCATTCCTCCATAAGGAGCTTCAGAGCTCATTCCAGAGCTTCTCCTCCTCCCTTCAGGCACCAGCAAACGGTCCGTTCATTCGAATTGAGCTCTGCCCCCAGGAGAGGGAGGAGGAAGAGGAGGAGGAGTGCTGGGAGGGCAGCTCTTCATCACAGAGCCACGTTATCCTCCACCTCCTCGGTTTTGACCACAGCGAGCAGCAGCTGCTTCAGATGGCTCACACGCTGGTCCGAGCTGCCATGAATGCCGCTGTGGATCAGCTGACCAGAGAACAGCAGAGCACCGCAAACTGTGTCCAGCGAGACCATGCTGAGGACGGGGAGGAGGCAGATATAGGGAGGAGGTGCTGCATACCCGAGTGAGTGTCTGCGCAGAACTTTATGTCAGGCGGAGAACAAACTGGAGCTAAAAGATGACACGAAGACGCTGACAAGCCATGATGGATCACGTGCAGAAGGAGATCAACACCTGCAGAAGGAGATCAACACCTGCAGGAAGGGATCAACACCTGCAGGAAGGGATCAACACCTGCAGGAAGGGATCAACATCTGGAGGAGGAGATCAACAGCTGAATGATCATACAGAGTCCGTTTTTCTCTGAATCAACTAGATAAAGGTTACCTTTCTGCCTGAGAGTCACAACTCAGGGCTTATTGATGTTCTCTCGCCACCTTAGGCTCTGCTCATGAATTATTGATCTGTATAAAGTCACATGTTCTGCTTTTCAGTCGTAGTGATGGTTTAAATAAATATGATCTTCCTCCTCTTAGAAACTTCGCGTCTCTTCTTAAAGCCACAGTTTAGAAATGATTTCTACAAGGAAAGGACAATCACAGAAAAGAGGTGTAAAAAAAACAGAGGGCGTGGCCAAAGGTCAAGACCAGCTGATGTAATGAGCTCAGGCGTAGACAGGTGAGTGTTTGAATCAGAAAGCAGACTGAGAGGAAGAAAAGGATATTTAGAGGTCAGAGCAGCTGGAAGTGACATCACAAAAGAGCAGAGACTAATGAGCTAAACTCTGTACTGAAGGTCAAATGATGAGCTCTTTGGTTTCTTTCATGAGGACATAAACATATAACCATTCTCACCATGTGAACTCGAGGATGAATGGAGCTCCTTAAACTTGCATTTTCTCACCTCCTCTGGTCTGTGAGCAGATGAGCCATCTGTGCGAATTGGAATTGTGACATTAAAAAAAAACAATAATTGCTAAAGTAAATTAAATTTGTAGTTCTAAATAAATTCTAAATGCATTTAGGACGTTTTTTACTCACTTTATGTCTCTTCCACGATGTTATTTCTCTCTCCAACAATGTAGGTTACAATTATTAGCATGACCAATTATGCAAATTAGGCGATGACTTCATTTAGCGACTTCTAGCGACTTTTAGGACAGCCAATAGCGATTTTCCTTACTGAGGAGTTGGCAACACTGCCCTTGCTGCCAGAGCGATGGTGGCTGAGACGCAGCGGAGCGGAGGTGTAAGTGCCTGGACATGTTAGCTGCATTTAACCTTCAGTTACTCTTTATATAGTTAGGTAGGAGTCAGACCATGTTTCTTTTTAGCTGAAAAACATTACACTCAGGTAACCTGCAGTGTTGAAAACTTTTCCGTCGATGTTTGCTACCCTACAATCCGCCCTACTCTGTAGTAAAATCAGCGACATCTGACTGTCCTGTTGCTCCCACTGAAATGTATTCAGCCTATTTAAAATCTAAAACTTAAAATTGTCCGTAACCTACTGTTGTTACCACTGTCCTGTTTGAAATGGATACTAACTAGCTGAATGCCCATTAGCCTTATAACTCCCGTTGTGTGTGTGTGTGTGTACAGAGCAACAGCCAGGTTCATAATGGATATAAGGAAGTTTATTCAAAAAAGGAGCCACATTCAGGTAAAAGTGTAAAATCAAATGATCCATTTCTCAAGAATAATGTTGGATCAGTCTCAAAACGTTGAATCTGTTCATCTGGACGTAGCGTTTTCAGTGGGAGAAACGTTTCATCACTCATCCAAGTGACTTCTTCAGTCTCAGCTGACTGCAGGTTTCCCCAAATCTTATAAACAGTACATTTGCATAATGACTGAAACCAGCCCACTGAAGGAACAATGGGCTGGGAAGTCAGTTCCTTAATCTTAATTATGCAAATTCTCATGACCATTGGTCAACAACCACTGACCAAAACCCACTGATGTGTGGTTCAGCCACAACTCTACTAAAACCTCAACCAGTAATAGGTAGGCCAACTTTTGGACCGTCCAGTTGTCTGTATGACTGCCGCAGTACGTAGATCACAATTGCACACTATCAGAAAGTGCCAAACAGCCCTGGTGGAGTGAGGAACTGTAAAGAGAAGCAGAGTGCTCTGTTTATATTCTAAAAATATTTTAAGCTAGCTTGTTTCAAAGATTCTGTACAGCTGCTTTAAATGTCTTCCAAAAGCACACATACACTTGTCAGTGTTTCTCAAACTTTTTACAGTGTGTACCACCTGAGAAAATGTCAAGCTCTCCCAAGTACCACTATGAAAGCATCAAACTCATAAATCTTACAACATAAAATTAGTATCTGTCTGTATTTTTAAACAACATTTTAAATTTAATGTTGCTGAAACAACAAAGTTGTTGGATGATGTCGGCGTAAATGTGCAGTCATATTCGTTGTGTTCCCACTAGTGCTGTCAGCGTTAATCTCAAATGAGGTTAACGCCACAACACGGCAAATCTCCGTTAACGAGCTACCGCGGATCGCCCCGTGCGTGGGGGTGGACGGCCAACACGTTAACGAGCTAACTGCGCTAATGCACTAGTTCCCACCAATGTGGGAACTAGTGGGAACTAATTGAGCATTGCGTGGCACATCCGACATACTGTTTTACTTTAGTCCATGACGCGCTTACCTTCAGGGTCATACGTCACATGAAAACCAAAATAGTTCCAAACGCCAGATCTGAATGAGGGTGGGGGAGGTTCAATTTGCCATGTTGCAAGGAGAGCTCAACTTCTGTCTCGCTAGCTTGCCCTGCGCTCAGTGAATCTGCGTTCGACTACTCCGCCTAGGCTGCACTGTCGAGTGCAGATCTACGGTGGCCCCTAGAGACAAAGCACATGCAAAATCCAAAACACATGCAAACTCCGAAACACATGCAAAATCCAAAGCACATGCAAACTCCAAAACACATGCAAAATCCAAAG